CAGCAGGTCACTGGACGTGGTGGCATACAGGTAGCCTTGTGTTCCATCACTAACAAATACATATTGGGTTAAGAGGATTTTAAAACTTTAATGGAGGCCCAAAAATTATAGCACAAACAGTTCACAGAACAGATGATTTGTGAAATGTATCCCTCGCATCCTAGTAACCCACACAATGGTTGAACTGGCATATGCCCATTATTACCAATCTTACTATTGTTTCGTAGGCTTATCAAAGGGTGGATAATGGATCAATACTAAGGATTTGTGGAGCACAGATAGTATAACCAAGCTCTCTAGGTATCTTTGTAATGTTCCATGCGTCCTGTTAGCATTGAGATATGTTCTTCACACCCTCATATCTCCTCTAATCTCTCTAGCCAGGAATGGAAGGAAATCAGGTCCGGGCGCTTCCATAGAGCTGGGATCAAGAATCAAGCCGCCATGAGTAAGTGATTAGATAATTATTTTTTTAGACGCGGATATCGGGAATCTGGAATGGTTTAGAAGCATGTCCACTCGGTGGAATATTGTTTTTTGAGTGGTAGCATATTCTAAACTGATGTACAATCAACACCCTGGTTGTGTAAAAGTTAGCCCTTATTCATACATACTTTGATACTCTTTGATACTCCCTGCTAACAGCCCACTGCTTGTAGAATGCATGTGTTTTCTCAAATATATATATTGTTAACATTAAATATTCTTCCATTCTATGTCAATGCGTCCGTTCTGACTCACTGATTGGGAACAAAGTATGATGTGCTACTTTTGCAGTGTATTAGGTCATTTCATACTCTGTTGTGACCTTCTGTTACCTGATGTTAACCATAATTTATGTTCATTGTGATTTATTAGCTCTTAGTCTAGGAAGCACTCTCAATTTTAAAGCTTGGAGATTAAAAGGCTAGACTCTTCATTACAAGATTATTGTCACTGATAATAATAACAAAGTATGTAACCAGGAAAGGTACATTCAGATTACTCTGGTTTTCAAGTACGTCCTGGGGATGTTACTATTACCCAGTTTAATGGTACTCATTTTATCTACCTCAGAAGGATGAAGGGCTGAGTCAACCCTGCTGGGATTTCAACCTGCAACCCAAGGGTTGAACAACTACCAACACTGCCACTTCTATTCAGTTACACTGGATGTTTAAAAATGATTATAAGCAGACATGGGAAATATGAATTTTACCCTCATTAAAATTTTCATCATAAATAAGATTGTGAATGTGTATTGGATATTAAATTATAGTCTTTTCTATCCTTTATAAAATAATGTATAATATGCATGGGAGCATGTAAAAAGAAACCCTTAAATTACCTTGGAACAATAGTGCAAATTGTAGGTTTTATTTTGGTTTGGAACTTGGTCAATTAAAGGAACACTATAGTCACCTAAATTACTTTAGCTAAATAAAGCAGTTTTAGTGTATAGATCATTCCCCTGCAATTTCACTGCTCAATTCACTGTCATTTAGGAGTTAAATCACTTTGTTTCTGTTTGTGCAGCCCTAGCCACACCTCCCCTGGCTATGATTGACAGAGCCTGCATGGAAAAAAAAAAACTGGTTTCACTTTCAAACAGATGTAATTTACCTTAAATAATTGTATTTCAATCTCTAAATTGAACTTTAATCACATACAGGAGGCTCTTGCAGGGTCTAGCAAGCTATTAACATAGCAGGGGATAAGAAAATCTTAATTAAACAGAACTTGCAATAAAGAAAGCCTAAATAGGGCTCTCTTTACAGGAGGTGTTTATGGAAGGCTGTGCAAGTCACATGCAGGGAGGTGTGACTAGGGTTCATAAACAAAGGGATTTAACTCCTAAATGGCAGAGGATTGAGCAGTGAGGCTGCAGGGGCATGTTCTACACACCAAAACTGCTTCATTAAGCTAAAGTTGTTCAGGTGACTATAGTGTCATCATAACAACATCATCTAAATGAAAATGCTATGATGCCAGGAAGCCCCCGGGTGCTCTCTTTCCTTTAAGGGGTTTCTTCAAATGGTTTAACCCTAAAGGCTTCCTCCAGCTCCAGATCTCCAGGTCGCTCAGTGGTATTCGGCTTCTGAAACGGAGTATCAGGAAGTGCAGATTGTCGTCGGGCCTGGGTGCTGCAGATTGGCTAGAGTGGTCAGTTTTACTTTTTTATGAATGGGGAGCTACTGATTGGCTTAGAGTACAGCTGACCACTCTAGCCAATCAGCAACACTCCTACCCAGCGGCACTCTATGCTTCCTGACACTCAGTAAATAAAAGTGAACACATTAACACTGATATTTTTTTTTTTACCTGGGGAGATGAGAAGGTCCAAAGTTTCCCTGCCAGACCCAGGTACCAAAGACTTATGATGTGGTGTGCAGAATAAAGTGGAGGGTTCACTTCACTTGCCCTTCCTGCTCCAATCTCATTTTCTTCTCCTTCATTTGACATGGTCTTCTTTTTCTTCTGACACAGTCTTCTCTCCTCCTTGGCTTCTTCTGCTCCTTTACCTTTCTGCTACTTTCTGCTCATTTCTCATCCCTTTCTGCTTATTTCTGTTCCTTCTCCTTCTCTTACTTTACCTTCCTGCTCCTTGCTATCTCCCCCAGCCTCACTACTACCACCAGGCCGCCAGGCTATCTCCCCCCAAGCCTCACTACCTAAGCCATAGGCTATCTCGCACCCCCCAGCCTCGCTACCCTGATCTATGGGCTATCTCACTTCCCACCCCCAAGCCTCTGCACAGTGCGGGCTGTCTCTGCCACCCCCCCCAGCCTCACTACCTGATCTATGAGGCTGTCCTCACCCCCCCCAGCCTCACTACCCTGATCATAGGCTGTCTCACCCCCCAGCCTCACTACCCTACAGTCTATAGGCTATCTCACCCCAGCCTCACTACCCTGATCTATAGGCTATCTCACCCCCCCCAGCCTCACTACCCTGATCTATAGGCTATCTCACCCCCTCATCCCCCACTTACCTCATCTGTAGGCTGTCTCTACTGGCTGCATGTGCTGTTCCTCTGTGGATTCAGTCAGAGAGAAGCAGGGATAAGAGGCAGATTCCTATCCCTGTCTCTCTCCATACACAGCGCCACCTACTGGCCGGCGCCGGTATTGCACTGTATTTTCAATCACGAAAAATAGCAGAACAAGCTGAAAAATCTGGGGGGAGGGCAAATGCCCCCCCAGCCCCTCCCCTGTGGACGCCCATGGCCACTCCCACATACAGTAAGTACAGTTCCATGATATTATACTGGGCCTGGGTAGAGCTTCACATGCTTCACATCATTCCAGGAAAACTCATTCCTTGGTGATTTGGAGGATTGCACCGAGCATTGTATTAATTTTATCTTTTCAACGCTGTGGAAGGGAACCTTCATATAGGAGCGGAGATATCCATAAGGGGACAGAACTGCTTTAATAGTGGTTATTGTTAAAAAAAATGTTTTAATATTAACTGTTATACTACCTGCATTCCTGTTTATTGGTTCTCTGATAGCCCACAGAAGACATGACTGATTGCATTGCTTATCTGCCTAGTTTTTCTATCCTTGGAGTGTATTTATATAAGAAGCACAGTTCTGTTTAGTGGATACCAAGGGTAGTACTGATCAGAAACAATGTTACTCAATGCCTTTACTGCGCAATTTAGTTTTTGTAATGCAAATAATGGTCCCTGGTTCCATTTTCTCATCTATATTTTATCAAATATAAATTCATGTTTATTGTTACAAAGAAATAATGTATTACATTTTGTATTGCATTTGTATTGCCATAGCAAAAAAATAAAAATAAAATAAATCCTTTCTGAAAGGGCTCTTACACTCCAGCTATGACTGGGATGTCAGAATTATTTAATATAAAATGATTTAATCCAAAGAGTAAAAGACTTACACTTCAAATTTACTGAATCGTTTAATAACTAAAATAATGAAGAAACAACTTAAATACCGAGGGTAAGTAGAACTGACATTTTTCTTTTTGTAAAACCACAGGAGAGTTTTGTAGTTTTTTGTAAAATTATTTTGATGAATAGTTATACATACAAATTGTGTTCAGTTTCTTTAGTTAAATTATTTAATTGTCTTGGTCATGCAACAATATGTGAAATTAACTTCCATTTAAACCATAAACTTAAATCTTTATCATTTCATTTTAAAGTTTATTACATGAGATATTATGCAAGAATATTACATTTTTAATCGATTCGCAATTGAGTTCTTTTCATTATTTAAGCAATCATGTAAGAATTGTTTGAAACCTCAGATGAAAAGCAAGAACAGAATAGGGAAACCACTGCAGTTCAGTTTATAGTTTGCTGTTCAGGGATACCTAAAGGGACATTATAGGCACCCAGACCACTTCATGTCATTAAAGGGACACTATAGTCACCCAGACCACTTCATATCATTAAAGGGACACTACAGGCAGTCAGACCACTTTATAGCATTAAAGTTGCCTGAGTGTAGTTTCCCTGTACCCTGAACCAAGCAATGTAAAACATTGCAATTTCAGAGAAACTGCAATAAGTACATTGCAAGGTCAACTTCACCTCTAGTGGCTGTCTTCACGCTTTGCATGAGAACGACCAGCATCTTCAAAATCTCCATAGGAAAGCACTGATTCAAAGCTTTCCTGTGGGGCAGCGCTAATGCACGCAAAACGCTAGCTGTGCGTGCTCATTAGTTTCCTCTATCGCTATGACACCAGAGGAGACTGATCCAGAGCTGAGCGGCTTCAGCACTGGAAAGAGGTAAATTAAAGAAAGGGTTATTAACCCTTTCAACACAAGGTGGGTGGTGGACCTATAGTAAATTACAGAGAGACCCTATAGCATTAGGAATATAGTTTTGTATTCCTAGAGCTATAGTGTTCTTTTAAAATATTAAAGTTATAATGCAGATTCCGAAAACTCCACCATAATTCAGAGAGGTAATCAATGGGCATACTAAACAAATCAGGATATCTGCACAGTACACATTTCATGCTGTTATTGTTTTCTGCAGTGGTTCCCAAACCAGTCCTCAAGGCCCACCAACAGTCCAGGATTATGTATTTCCCTGTTTTATTCCAATGGAGATACTAACAAAACTTGGACTGTTGGTGGATCTTGAGGACTGGTTTAGGAAATGCTGGTTTTCAGTAATGAAATCCTGCAGTGTGCTCAGAGCACACTACTCAACCTACACTTTGGCTGCTGTAATGCTGAAGGCTCCTGTGCCATATATTAGGAGAACAGCAATGGTTATGCCAGCAGCCAGTTATTAATTTCTATTTATGCCAAAATAAAGACAATAGGTCTTTTAGATAATTGTACAAAAAGAAGTTAGGTGGAGTGTAGCTGATTTTCAGATATATTGTCACTGTAGGAGACAAATAAACATGGCCAAAGCCTAGTGCAATACAGTATGGTCTAATGCATAGACAAATATATGATTCTAGTGATATAGTACTCACAAAGATGAAGCCAATATGAGAGGCTCACCACAAGTGCAGGTGGGGATGTTGGAAGGGACCCCACTCGCTTTTGATGCTTTAGGAGTCTTCTTGTTAGCCCAATATAGGTTCCAATATCAGGAAATTCTTTATTGGCATGAAGCAAACAAAATTACAAAAGAAAAAAAAATAAAAAAAATAAAAAAGAATAATAAAATAAGATAAAAATAGTAGAAATGGGTACAATGAATGAAGCCCAAATAGTGTGTAAAAACTTGCAAGACGCGTTTCTCCTGTTAAAAATAATTCTTCAGTTGCTTGTAGCTCTTTTCCGGTGTTTGGTTGTTCTTATATGCCTCCCCCTGATTGCTCATTGCGGTCACCTGATGTTGCCGATCGGTTCCGTCTCTTTTTAATGACACGGATCTTCGCGTCTCTTCCTGATGACGTTGGTATATTCAGTCCGTATTTGGAACGCATTCTTGCGTTCCACAGTCCAGATAAACTTTATTGTCCTTAACAATATTGTATATTTCATATATGCATATTGGAAAAAGGAAAAAAAGGAGATAATTTTATCGTTTTTTTTACTATTTATAATAGAAATCTAAACACATGAAGAAATTGGTAAGTATAAGAGTACATAAGACTTATAAGAGTGTTTCAGTAATTGTATATGTTTTTAGTGCATAAAACCAATAGATCATTCCATTATATATTAAAAGTGCACAAAGTGTCATGCTCTATATTACATAAAGTGCTTAATATATTTAAAAGCTGTAGTAAAAGTGTATGAGATGTCAAACTCTATATTTTATAAGGGGCTTAATCTATTGAAAAGCTGTAATAATGCTCCTAATGTTTAGGTCAGTTTAGTAGATCATTAAAAATTACCATTTGAACTTTAAAAATCACATTAGTGAGGACAAAAGAAATTCTCTAATTATATGGGAATTTTGTGGCATTTACTTATGTTAAAAAATAAAAATATATCAATATATGGATAAAATATATATTTTTAAAAACCATATATATATAATAAAAAAAAAGGGTCCCAAATGCTTAAGATATTTACATATTATTTCTAAAAAATGGCATAGTTCAAAGTCTGAATTTAATCTGTGTATTAAAATTAAAAATATATTTCATCTCTTCTTCCCAATTTGTTAAAGAAATCTCCTCCTCTACAATCTTTTTGTACTACTTTTAGGACACAGAAAAAAAGATCTTTTGGGTTTTGATTGTGGACCCTTTTGAAGTGTTGGGAGACACTATGTGTTTCCAGACCTTTCTTGATATTCCGTATATGTTCCGCAACTCTAATGTTTAGTGGACCAATTGTTCTGCCTATATATAATAGGTTGCAGGAGCATTTCAAGGCGTAAATTACGCCTTTTGAATAGCAAGTAGCATGATCTTTAATAACATATTCCCTTCCTATAATGAGGCTAATATTGGTAAGGTGTCTCTTGTGACTATTAGTTGTTCTACATGGTAAACAGTTACCACAACCATAAAAACCTGAAAGGCTTTTAAAAAGGCTTTTTAGTTCCTCTAAAAATAATTTTTGGTTGGAGGGATAAAAATTTGTTTAATACAGGGTCATCTTTTAAAATATGCCAATATTTCTGTATAGTTCGTTTTACTTTTCTGGTGTTTCCATGGGAATTACAGATGAAAGGTACTTCATTAGTTCGCTGAATTTTATCTTTTGGTTTGTACTTAAGGAGGACCCCACGACCAACAGACTGAGGTGGTCACAGACAATCTTACCACAGGAGTCTCCTGGGAAACGACAGAGATCTATTGAAGAAGAAGACGAAGGAAGAGAAGGACAGAGATACAGAGAGAAGAGGAACAAAAGACATGTATAGATGGCATTTTTAATTTAGCAGACCATTCTTTTTCTATAGAAGAGAAATACATTTTACAAAAAGGTCTTAAATTCGCACCTACCTCAGATTTTAATAAATTCGATTTTTTTATTGATATTAATCATTCTATCAGACGCCTGTGCCTAAAATAACGAGAGAAACAACCATTGGCGGAACAAGATGAGCTATATGAACATACATAACTAAAAGAAAAATCTAAATTTTTTCCAAAACATATGATCTCAGATCAAATTAAAACTTTTGAGACTATGGTAATAACGGAGGTAGATAAAATAAAGAAAATTAATCAGTATCAAAATAATTTATCCAAAACAGAAAATGTGAAAAAGAACAAAAATATAATAATCAAACCGGCAGACAAAGGGGCAGGAACGTTATTTATAATAAGGAAAAATATATAGAAGAAGCTGAGAGACTTCTCTCAGACACTAAAACTTATAAGAAACTATCAATTAATCGCACAGAAAATATAAAAGATGTATATAGATAAAGGGAAGAAATTAAATATTTTAAATGAAAAAGAAGCCAGATACCTCTATATGAATAACCCCCGGATACCAGTATTTTACCATTTGCCAAAAGTACATAAAGACATCACCAATCCTCCTGGCAGACCAATAATATCAGGCATTAATTCAGTATCATCGAGAGTATCGGAATATATAGATGTTGTATTATAGCCAATAGTAACAAAGAACCCATTTTATTTAAAAGACACAATACACATGCAACAGATTTTAGAACACACAGTACAAACACAATGGATGGAGCATATATACTGTTTCCTCTCTTCTCGATTTGTTGCTGTGGTCACTTTAAAGATTGCAGAGATACTATTTAAGATATCTATCAGTCAAGACATAATTTGCACTGTTATTTTAAAGAATGTTGAAACAATAATACTCTGGAGCTATACACTAAGTTTACATTCTATCTCTGTTTTTATTCATATGATGTAATTTGCTTATAATTTTAATTGCACTGTATATTCTATTCTCTCTGCATCTGACTCTTTTCTTGCCCATGAAAAACGGCACGTGACCGGAATTATAATATCAAGACCAGGAAGTAAGACGATGTGGAACGCACTATACGTTTAACTTGTGAGTACAGACTGGGGATTGAGGGCACATACACCGGAACTAGGAAGTAACTTAGAGTGGAACGCACCATGCATTCCACTCGCGATTGCACATAGAAACCCGGAAGTGACATCGGAATATTTCACGTGACCGGAAGCAGGAAATGAATGCCGATAGAGTAATGGAACGCACTAATGCGTTCCAAGAAGAAAAAAACCCGCGAACTTCAATTTGTAAGAACATTTATAATGGACATGGACTCTTTTGAAACTACAGAGCCAACTGAGGAAGCCACATGAGGCAAAACGCGTATTGGCCATACTAATATTTAATCTTTCTATTGCTTTATATATTTTATGTCATAGTATTTAATAAATGTAGTTTTAATATTTCCATCCATTGGATCCTCTGCAATTTATTGGGAACCAACTTCTATTGGATATACCAACCACCCATAGAGGGATTAGGATCACCCTGGAATAGATCCTGAGGCCATCAATACCAAAGCCAGGTTCTATATTGGCTCTGATTTTGTGAGTGCTTTCTTGCACATGTTATTTTTAAGCTGTTATTGTTAAGTTATCTACACTATTTTGTGTACCTCTCTATCTCCACAGCAACAAATCGAGAAGAGAGGAAACAGTATATATGCTCCATCCATTGTGTTTGTACTGTATGAATTCCTTTGTGCTGGTATAGGGGTTACCACACGGGTGTTTTGAGCATTATTGTCACTACTAGCTGTACCATTGAGATTTTAGAATATACCCAGTGGAAGGATGGATATATTTTAGTTACATGTGATGTTAGCTCTTTATTTAGCATTATTCCGCACGAAAAAGGCATAGAGGCTGTAAAATATTTTTTAGAAAAATCTAATTTTAAGGAGGAACAAATCAGTTTTATAATAGAAGGGATTTTATTGATTTTAACCAATAATTTTTTCTTGTTCGAGGATCAATTCTTTTTACAGATTTGCGGCAATGCGATGGGCACCAAGTTCGCCCCCAGCTATGCCAAAAATTTTATGGCTTATTGGGAGAAAAATGTTATTTTCCAGGGACATAACTGGGGGGGAGAACTTGGTGGCCTATCGTAGATATATAGACGACATATTTTTTTATATGGACAGGCACACCAACAAGTCTGGGTGATTTTTTAGTATTCCTCAACAATAATAATTGGGGAATACAATTTACATGTATCCATAGCCAGTTGGAGATTAATTTTCTAGATCTCAACATTTTTATTAAAGATTCATCAATGAGAACGAAGAATAATTTGAGACCTGTAGATAGCAATAGCTATATAGAAAGAACAAGCTGCTACTATAAACCCTGGTTGACTAATGCTCCTAAAGGACAGTTCCTTAGAATTAAAAGAAACTGCACAGTGAAAAAGATTTTTTAGAACAAGCAAAATATTTGGAGCAACAATTCATCAAAAAAGGCTATGAGAAAGAAAATCAGACAGCAACTCCTTAAGTACAAACCAAAAGATAAAATTCAACGAACTAATGAAGTACCTTTCATCTATAATTCCCATGGTAACACCAGAAAAGTAAAACGAACTATATAGAAATATTGGCATATTTTAAAAGATGACCCTGTATTAAACAAATTTTGTACCCCCAACTAAAAATTATTTTTAGAGGAACTAAAAATGTAAAAAGGATTTTAGTAAAAAGCCACCTAGAAACAGAAAAAGCACAAAATAT